TAACCTTATAAGTTTGAGTATCTAGTTACACAAATTCTGAAGTGATTAAAAAGGCTTCAATTGATTTATTATTTGAAGTATGATGTGTTTAAGTTCTGGACTTTGTTGAAATGTACGACCTGCTAACACTTGTAAAATTTTTGCAAGTTTGATTATATTGCTGAGGTTCGTATTGCACAAGTATGGTCTTGTTATGTCAAACCACTGACACTTGTAAAAATTTTACAACTTTGATTGTGTTACTGAGGTTTATAATTGCGCGAGTCTAACCTTATTACAAGTTCCATGTTATTGAACTTCAATGTTCATAAGTTTGATGTTGTCAAGCTTTCGAAGTTTTTATGCGTCTAATGATATTATTAAGTTGATGCTACTTTAAGTTTGATTTGATGTCATTGTTGAAGTACAAGTGGTTCAAATTTATATTGGCAAGCACATCAGAATTAAGCAGGAATGGTAAAGATGCAGAAAGTAAATGAACACAAGTACTAGAGAAAAGCAGAACTCCATTCATTAAAATTATATTTACAAAAGGTGGGCCTAGGCCATTACACTTAGACAAAAATAAGAAAAAACCCATTGGAGATCTACACTCCAAGAAGGTGGGGTGGAAGGGCATGAATGGTACTATGGCATTGGGAGCCACTTCTTTAGTAGCAGCCTCTTCAATTATATCTTCTTCAAGATCTATGACTTGGTCTCCTTCAACCGTAGTTTGAGGCTCAAACTCCTCCCCTTCTTCTTCCAAGAAGATGGATCTGATATCAGAAGTGTTGACGCCTTACTCGTTAGCCTCCAGCCATTCCGTCAAATTAACATAGGCATACCTTCGCTAATATTTGGCAAAACTCTAGTATGCATCAGTCAAATGAAAGTTGGTGAGGAACCTCTTCTCAGCATCACTACTGGCAAGTTCAGCATCTCTTCTGCAGGTTTTCACTTCCTCAGACCAGCCACCTTAGAGTTCAAACCCCCCACCCGCTCCTTAAGAGCAGTATTCTCCTTGTTGGCCTTCTTTAAGGCCCCAACCGCTAGCTTCTGGTGAGCATCAGACGTCTCCACTCATTTTGTTAAGGAGGTTACCTCGCTTTAGGAGAGATAGACCTCCTTCTTCAGTGTTTCAATCTCTGCTAAGGTAGAGGTGAGCTTCACCAACAATTCTTCGTGCTTTTTCTTTAAGGCCACCATCTCTGCCTTGGCCTTACTAGCAGCCTCCTCAGCCTGAGAGGCTTTATTTACAAACCTATGATTTTTACTTTGAAGATTTTTGAAGAGGTTTCAGCCTCTATGGCCATCCCAAACGACCTTCTAGCCAGGCTCACCATGGTGGTAAAGATGTTGACTACATCGCTTGTCTCCACATAGTTTTGTCACCTCTCCATCCAGTAATTATGATATGTAGAAGTAGCAATTTGGACCTCTAGAGGGAGGAAGCTGAGAGCTTTTGGTGCCAGTTCTTTAGTCCTTTTTTCAAGATGAGCTTTTGCTTGGTTGGCTCAGCAGTGGTGGAGTTACTGGAAGTCCTCATCTTCTGGGCAGACTCTGGTCTCTAGGGTTCCATGACATTGGGCCTCTTTTGTCCCCCAGAGGCTGCAGCAATTGAGCTATCCAACAACTTCTCTCCCGTTAGGACCTTGAAACGGGAGGGAGGGACATCAATCGAACTACCTACCCCGTCAGTGGGGATCCTGAACCTCTTCTTAGGTTCCTTTACGAAAATTTTCTTTCCTTTATCTGGATAGGGGGTTGACCCTCTTCTTGGGAGGTAGGGTCCTTGCTAACCTTCACAATTTTTTTCGTCATTTGTTTTCATCCAGCAGTTGAGGGCTTTAGGCCCTTTTTACCTGAAGTAGAGGTGGCGGCGAAGATCGTTGCTATTTCAGAAGTTGGGTGCCTCCTCTTCTCGAAGCTTTCTACAAGCATAAAAGGATCGAGGTCAGTGAAAACTTTACAAAAACATGAAAAATTTTCTATGTGTAAGGACATCTTACCCTTCCTAGCCATCAAAAAAAAATCTTCAAAGAAGCGCCTGGACTGAATGAGACGATCGAAGTCACGAGAGGATGAGGATCGCCTATAGACGCCTTTGAGAATATCACAGTCACTCTTAGTAAATTTAAACAGTTCGACCTACCCTGCAAAATAATATAAAGAATGTTAAACATTAGACCTCATAAGTTCAGAAAAATCAAATGAGAAAGAAATGCACTCACGTGCGTCGAAGTACGAGGTAAGAACTTTAATGTGGGGGACAGTGTCACCCTCACACTCTTGCCACCTCTCCTTGACCCAGAACCAAGTCTCATTCTATCCTTTGATGGAAAAAGGTAGGTCCAATAAAAAGGAGGAGTGTGACCCCACAGACATAGAGAATACCTCCCCCTGGAGTCCTCTTTTCCTAAAGATCGTGGCTGATAAACAGTTTAAAATATATGCAAGGACATGTCCTCACCCCATGAAGTCTTCTTCCAAAGGAAGTAAGAACCTACTAATTGGACCAAGGCATTAGGAATGAGCTGGGAGGGACCAACCCCTACAACCTCAGAACAGCACGAAAGAATGGTTGGATTGTAAGGCGAAGCCTAGCTTTTAATATAAATTCACTAACGGGGACACAGCCTTGCCTAGGATAGTAGGCTCGCTCATTAGGAGATGGGGAAATAAGTTCTATATCGTATGGAATTCTATACTTATCCCTAAGGTAGGCTAAGTATGTCGGATCTATAGAGGAAGGGATATTGGCTGCCCCCAAGCTATATCATCATCTGATGGCCTACCCCCCAAGAAGTTGAAGCACATCGTCAAACCTCAATAGCCCCAATGAGGTCGGCTGTGCTTGTGATTTTTACCACTATTTCACTGGTCAAGTCACTCAAGTAATGTACCCCTCAACAGAACCAGAACCATTAGCTATTAATTTATAATTTAAACTTTTTACAGTTAAATTACTTACGAGTTTTTAAGATAATGAATAAAGAACACCAAGAAGTGTGAAAACAACAAAGAAAAGGGGAAATATTAAGAGATTCGAGAAAAAAGAAAACTTAGAAATTTCAGAAGCTTGGAAATTTCTCAAGAGTTGGAAGAAAATTCAAAAATTTTGGTGCAAAGAGAATGCTGAATCGTAAAGGATGCAAAGTGATTTTCTTCAAGGATTTGTGCCTTTTATAGGCAGACCCTCTTGATCTTAGCCATTGGATCTCGATTCGGGTCATCCAACCATCCATTTTGAAGTTTAAATCTGAGCCATTCAACACGTGTGATGCTTCATCTTCCACGGCCCAGATTAGAATGTTTGACCCACACGCCCTCATGCACCTGAAGTTCACAAAGGACATACGAGACATCCATCATTGCACATTAAATGTGGCAACGGTTATGTGTATTGGAAGTTGAACCGCTTCAATTGTCTTTTCTTGAAAACGTACAGTGACAGCAAATCATTTGGGTGCCATAATTAAAAATGCCTCGTGGTTCTCAAATTTATTAAAATAAAGCGCCTGTAATTATCAACTATGAGGCCCTATGAGGGGCTGACCCTCTTCACTTCAACCAGTTCAGCTAGTACTTCAGATATGTAAATGCACTTCAGAAGATACAACTTCGGAATTACTCCGCTTCAGTAACCTTTCTTAGAATTGTTCCAAAAGGTGAAATATTATCAAGTAAACCACTTCGGACAACACCTGCAAATGGTCTGCACAAGTCGGGTATATTTTAAATTCTAAGCATAACATGAATGATTATAGTTAGACTTAGGGGACTATCGTGGTGTGGTAAAAACCACCCTCCTACAAAATTTTTTATTTTACATTCAAGTTCATGCATCACATAAATAATCATACCTAGACTTGGGCCATTATTGTTATGTCTCACCTTCGAGACTCAAAGTAAAAGTGTCACGGAGGCAGAAATTAAACAACAAAGTCAAACAAAGAAGCATGAGGTGAAAATATGAAGAAATCAAACAAAATTGAAGTCCTTACACTGCAAGGCTGAAGTCCATGCTGAGGCACAGCCTCAAGGACGAAGCACTACAGCTTAGACTGAAACACTATCTAAGGAAGAAGAGAAAAAAGTTGAAGCCTCCACTTAGAGAACCACCTCAAAGATCTCTTCGAGGCTCTCAAACTCATCCGAAGCTCATGAGCTGACACTATGTCTTGTAATAAATTTCAAGATCTCTTAGAAGTGATTGAGGTGACACTTGTAATAAAGTTTGTCAGTGTGTCAGTTTATTGTATAGAGTAGCTGATCCCTTATCAATGTATTAATTGTATTAATAGATAGTGATGCGAAGCCTCAATTAGGGAGATGAGGTCACGTGGTTCTGATCCAACGGTCACCACATCGGCCAATGCAGTATAAAAAGGAATCTTTGTAAAAAAAAGGTTAGGTTGTTGGTTGAAAAATTGACAATTGAAACTCGAAATCCACTTGAACTCTTGAGTGAAATATACAAACACTTTTGCTTATTTTCTATCTTCTTTACATGTTTATGAGTTAGAAATCTCAACATATTAGACAACAACTTATATACACATTTCATATATCCTTCCACATATTCCTATTTGTCACTACATAGATTAGTTTGATTTCCATCCGGTGATCGTTGATAGCCCGATCGCCTTTGTTTCACCCGCCGAAACCTAAACATTTTTGTCTCTCGCCTCAAAGTACTCCTCGCGTCCATTTCCTCCTTACTACCGTCTTTACTC